CCTGCTGAAGGTTACTCGGTGCTCTTTCTCCCCTGCTCATAGGAAACTCAATTGGGAGTCTACTAACCCTTGTAGGCACTCTCCTTCCCCTTCCCTGCTTTCCCTGAGATGTTGTGTTTAGCAAAATCCTCAAATCTCCTTTAATTTGGAATTGAAAAGAAATAATTTCTTTTTGTAACTGTAAAATGGGAAACTCCTCTCTGAATATGCTTCAAAGAAGCTGGTTTGAGGGTTACTGTCTTTTAAAATGCTGAAAAATCCAAATGTAACCAGAATATTTCTATGTATGCTGCTTTGATTTACTTTAATCCAATTTCTAAACTTTTCTGATTCTTTCCAGTATCTGTACTGATTTTCTTATGCTTTCCATAGAAGGTTGAAGACGACACGATGCCCATCCGCCGCTCCGTGAATTCTTCTCCCCGGGAAACTCCTCCCAAAAGCAAACCTGCTGAAGGTGAAGAGGTCAAAGCAGGTACAGTGATAGTTCTGCAGTGGATTGTTCATGTATATCCAAACATAAGCTTATGCTCTGAAACTCCTGAAAAACCCTACTGCCAAGAGTTAAAATATTCCCAATGCTGAGCTCCTTTCCACAGGCTTCTCCTGGATTATTGGGAAGTTGTGTATTGCAGCCACGCTTTTCAGTCTGAACCCATTCATTTTGTCCTTCGTACCCTGTAGGAAAGTCCTGACACTCCAGACATGAAAACTCAGCTAAATAAAGCCCCTTTTAAGCTTGCATATTCTTTAAAGGTAGAAATTGTGAAGCCTCAGTAGTGTCAGGAAGGTGGCTTGAGACAGAAGTGAGTTGATGAATGGAAGAACAAAGTATTTAGGGTTTTTTCCTAAACAAGAGGATTTTGCCACAGCATGTCATAAGGTCTGATACTAAGGTGTCTGGTCTTAGCAGCTTCACCTCAGTTTCTCAGAATGTATCATTTCAGTATTACTCTCAGTTTCACTGGCTGTCCTCTTTGCTGTCACAAATAAGTAAGTTATATACCAAACTATCTTAATACACTGTGGATTTTAAAAGCATGATGCCTCCATGGGAAAACTATGCACAGGAACATGGTGGGAGTATTAAGCTCCTTCTCAGAGACAGAGAACCTGTGTAGAGCAGTGATGGTGGACAGTTACTTATCCAAAAAGTGGATAATGGCAGTTTAAGTGCACCTTATCTAGTAGGCAGCCCAGTCCTGTTGTCAGCTAAATATACGAGTTTATTTGCTTGGGAAGGTGATTTGATTGGATTTGATCCTGCTGATAGACAAGTGCTTCTGCCAGGGCATGTGCAAGCTAAAGCTTTGCCAAGTCTGGAGAAATTGATTGAACAGTTAAAAATCCTTCAGGTGCCACAGTGTGTGGTGCAGGAACAGCAGTGTTTGAGAACAAGTTGGTCATAAACAGAGCTGCTTGTATGTATCTATCTACGTGTCTTGTAGAGATACATGGTTTGCACATTTATGAGTTAAAAATGGGTAAACCTCAGCCTAGGGAAAAGCCATTTCCTCCTCCCTCCCCCTCCCAGGCCTCTCTGGTGCTGGATGATTGCAACAGTAACTTTGGAGTTACCAGGGGAAGACTGGGGGAATTAGTGCACTGTGAAAAGCTACATGATGTTGTTTGACCTTAGTCTGGCATCTGGTAGCACCTTATTGATGCTCCTCGCAGTAGTTTTGTTCACTTCTTAAGTTACATTCAAATCATCTGTTTAAATTGGAGAAAAGAAATTGTCTGGAGGAAAATGATTTTTGGGGTGTGTTCTTAAGCTTTTTATGGCCCCTCCCCCCCCCCTTCCTGAAGAATAAAGGCTTGGTTTAGGCAGTAACTTGTTGCATTTTCATGTAGATGCAGAAGTCACCTCTGAGGAATCTGCCTCTGTTGGAGAAGAACAAGAGAATGAAACCCTGCCTGCTGCATCCAGTGAAGCAGAACAGCCAAAGGAACCTGAGACTGAAGGGAAGGGGGAAACCAAGCCCTCAGAAGAAACCAAAAAGGAGTAAGGCACTTTCAGCTTAGTGCTGAATTTGGGGAATTGGGTAGGATTCTGAACAAAGTCAGGTTCTAGAGATGGAAATGATGGCAGGAAAGATAGGGAAAATGAGATGTGTCCCTTAAAAAGGGGCTTGTATTTCTCAGGAAGAAGCTACCAGTCGAGTGTGGCTGCTGTTTCTAGAACATGTCTGAATATCCAGAGTCTCTTTTTTTCTAGTAGAAACATCAAAATCTTCTTTAAATTATTTTCAGTGTCAGATGTTGTTGTTGTGGAGTTGTGGAGTTGTTGTTGTGCTGCTCTTGGCTTGTTTTACAGTGTCTCTTGTCTTACTGCTGATTTTTATCCTTCCAAAGTGAGAAGGATCAGTCTAAGGAGAAGGAGAAGAAGGTGAAGAAGACAATTCCTGCCTGGGCTACTCTTTCTGCTAGCCAGCTAGCTAGAGCACAGAAGCAGACTCAGATGGCTGCCACCTCACGTCCCAAAATGGATGCTATTTTAACTGAGGCCATCAGGGTAAGCAGGAGACAAATGTTTCTTTTGTTCATCTGTTGAAAGCAGAATAATTTGTGTGCCTAAAATTCACATTTCAGCTTGCTGCTGGTACAGATGATAGTGCTGG